TCCTGAAATCTACCATTTTTCAGCTTTTGGTCTCTCATATTTAGCCCTAGGGGTCCTTAAGTCTACCAGTTTTAGTCAGATTGGTCTACCAAAATTTATATATTTCTAGATCTACATTGTACCAATGTAAACACTAAATACATGTACAGTGCACATGTACACTGTATAAATACACATTTGAGTTTCTTCCCCTCCTCCTCCTCTTCCCTCAGGTTCTTGATCAGAGGAGAGGTATCCCAATCTCCCTCAGTGCAGTCTATCAGTCAGTGGCTCATTCTCTTGGTATCACACTCCTACCTGTGAACTTCCCTGCTCACTTTCTGTTGAAGTATCCTCAAAATTTAGCAAAGTAATTAATAACAATAATAATAATAATAATAATAATAATAATAATAACAATAATAATAATAATAACAATAATAATAACAATGATAATAATAAATAAATAAATAAATAAAATAATGATTAATAATAATTTACATGTACAATGTAGCCTAAAATTAGCGAAATAGCACTTGGAAGAAATTTACATGTACATTATACATGTATTTGTATCTTGTGTTAATTACACTTTATTTTTATTTAATATTTATCATTATTACTAGAGGTGATAGTGAGGTATTCATTGATGCTTATGGTGGAGGTCAGTTATTGAATCAGGACGAGTGTCTTGGACTCATACCATTCCTCACTATACCATCACCAGATATGTTCAACCCTGTAGACCCTTATAAGGTAAGGTACATGTACATGTATTACGCTACATATAGTTTCCTTACATGCAAATACATGTACATCAAGATCTGCTGTATTTCATGTACATGTACATGTATTTGATGCCCATTAGTGTTTTACACTTGACTAGTTAATTTTGTATTATTATTATTATTAAAATTTTCTCTTCTTCCTCACAGGCGATGATAAGAATGGTTGCTAATATTTATTCAAGAAGTTCTATTAATTTTGATGTTGGCAGACAATGGGATGAAGAAAAGAACCAGTGGTAAGTGTATATACATGTACACATACTTACTGTATGTTGTGTATAAAGTTTGAGCTGATTCCGATCAAAATTGGATTTCTTATGAAATTTTAAAGTTACTCTAAAATCGGGTCAAAGTCCCTGTACTATAGTACATGGTCACAGGCCAAATTTTGCCAAAAATGAAAATGAGAGAATTCTCCATTTTTAATACATTTTCTGCTATCTACTAATCATTATAATTCTTAATTGTAGGGGCCCTCTTGTCCTTCCCTCTTCTCTCTCCCTCCAGCTCTCCTTGTGTTGGATGTCCCCAGTGAGTGACCTAACCCGACAGGTTGCATCAGATGCTGCTAACATTGCACTGGACCTAAGGTTTAACGTCAAACAAGTTAGTATGTACATCTAGTCATGACTTTAACATCTATATACATGTACATGTACGTTTAGTTGTGCACTGTACATGTATATTGAACTGAAAGGATCAATCCATTTTTAAGAGCTACATGTATGTACTGTACTAGTTATGATAATTCAGCTACCAAGTATTAGATGATTATACATTTAGATACTATTAACATGTATGGTACATGTACATGTACATAATAACATGCTGTCATTTGTTGTTGTTTATTGTTGTTGTTAGGTTGTTTGGGTGTTATCAGATATGCTGCTAGA